ACTTGTAGCCCTTTTTATCAGGAGCATATCCAAGGAAGACACATTTAAGAGCCCTAGGATCCAACTTACTGCGATGCTGTTTATGAATATGAACAAAGACAACACACCCAAACACTCGAGGAGGAAGACTTTGCAAAGTTGGAACAGAAGGAAAAAAAGAAGTCATGGAGTGAATAGGACTTACATGATCGAGAACCCGAGTGGGTAGACGATTGATCAAGAACGCTGCAGTAAGAATGGCATCTCCCCAATAGCATTTGGGTACATGTGTTTGAAACAGAAAGGCACGAGCAACTTCAAGAAGGTGACGATTTTTCCTTTCAGCAACCCCATTTTGTTGAGGTATGTCTACACAAGTAAGTTCATGAATCATACCTTGATTTTGTATAAATTGGGAAAAAGAGTGATTGACATATTCAGTACCATTATCTGTCCTTAGTCTTTTGATTTTTTTACAAAATTGAGTCTCAATCATTTTATAAAATTGAAAGAACAGTTGTGGTACCTCAGACTTTTCACGCATTAAGTAAACCCAAGTTACACAAGTGCAATCATCAATAAAAGAAACAAACCATTTATTTCCAGAAGAATGAGGGACCTTAGAAGGACCCCAAACATCAGAATGAATAAGATCAAAAGGTTCAACACTCTTAGTAACACTAGAAGGAAAATACACACGATGATGCTTAGCAAATTCACAAACATCACAATGAAAAGACTCAACAGACTTAGACAAAAACAATGACGGAAATACAGATTTGAGTAAACTAAATGGAGGATGACCCAAACGCTTATGATGCAGCCAAATTAAAGAATCAGCAGTTGATTGACCATGAGACATGAATGTGTGATCTGTTACTTTATTTGCGGGAGATTGTGACACCAGATAGTACAGCCCACCTTGCTCTTTAGCACTATCAATCGTCTTCCCCGTGGCGAGATCCTGAGAAACACAATGGGTAGGGAAGAAGGTTACAGTACAATTCAAATCTTTTGTAATTTTGTGAATAGAAAGAAGATTCGTGGAGAGTTTAGGAACATGAAGAACATCCTTGAGATGTAAGGACTGTTGTAAGTTTATGTCACCAGAACCCGCAACTGATGTATGTGAGCCATCAGCTATGGATATTGTATGAGTTCCAATGGTAGGATGATAAGAAATAAAGGAGTCAGCACAACAAGCCATATGATCAGTAGCACCAGAATCAACAACCCAAGAATGTTTAAAATCATTACATGAAGAAATAAAAGAATGAGTTTTGGAGCTCATACCAGTCATAGCCAAAGCACTAATATCAGATGGCTTACTCAGATAATCAAGAATGGTTCGGAGTCGTTCCAACTCATTTGGACGAAATGCAGATTGGGTCTCATTAGGTGCAGGGGTTATTTATTTCAGAGAAAGTAAAATGCGCTTGACCACGCATCCTTGCCATCTTTTCTAAGACAGTTTGCTTTCCATAAAGGCGAAAGCATAAATCCTTGATATGACCTGTTCTTTTAGAATAAGAACACCATCGATCATCTCTCTTAGGTCTAGAAGAGGTACCATCATAAAATTTTGAAAAAGAACTCCTTTGAGAAGAGGCCATACTGCACAGAAAATGGTTAAAAGAAAAGCTCCAAGAAGCCAAAAAATCACAAATAAATACCAAACGATGTCCGATCAAAGAGAGGAGCACAGATCCAGAAAGAGGACGAAGAGACGGTCAAGATCGCGGTGGTCCGATCCGAAAAAATGGTCTCACGCGCCGCCACGCGCCAGTGAGATTGGCTGCGCGTGGGCTTCACTCGCGGTTGAAGGGGCGGGGCGTGTGGGCGCGTGCGGTGGCCGTCTGGTCTGAAATTTCTGGAGCAACGTCGTCCGGTGAGCGCGGTTCTTTCTGAGTCTGTTCGGAGTTGAAAAACCACCGGGAAAGGGTCCAATCGTGATGAACAGATGCTGTCTTGTGATGAAGAATAATGGGGACGATGAACAGTAACAGAGACGATGAACAGTAACAGAGATCTTCTCGGTCCAAGAGGTCCCCGGAAAAAATCCGGTGGCGGCTGATGGCAGCGAGAGACAAAAAGAATAAAAGGTTCTTGTTCTAAAGACAATAGGCGCGGAAGCAGAGCCCTCAGGATCGAGAGCTCTTATACCAACTTGAAAGAAAAGGGTATTTGAAATATTATTGAAATTTGTACAAAGGGTTCTCTATTTATAGAGAATACTTGACCTAATTTTGACCTAATGGGCTTGGCCCAATACAACAAATAAATGACTAAATAATAACTAAATAATTATTATTTACAACAGAAATCGACAATTTTTTTTTGGCAAAAGTTTTATAAACTTATAGTCATGTTGTAACTTTTTTAATTGATTCAAATCAAATAACTTTAAAATATGCAAAAGATGCTTTTCAATTATAAATTTGGGGAGAGTTATATTTATAAAATTTTTGTTTATAAACTCCACTATGTACTCCCGAAAGTACATTAGGTTACACTATGTACTTCTGGGAGTACATAGTGTAATTTGTAAAAATTTGTAAATTTTTTTTATAAATAAATCATTCCCTTATAAATTTAATTATAAGAGGTTTGTAAAAATAAATTGTGTAAATATGAACCCTCGATCATTTTATAAGTGTTTAATTGTTTATTCACCGTGTGACACACTCAACTCTCGTCAATTTTTATTTTACAACATGCAGGAAAGTAAAAATTGTTTAAACAGGTGAACTGGCTATTTGACCCTTTTGCCCCTTATTAATTAATTAATAACCATTTTGCCCCTGATTCGAAACTATCTATCAATCTGCCCCTCTTTAATCGACTACTTTGCATGTTTAATCGACTAAATGGTTGTTGGAAGATTTAATCGACTAAATCTCCCTACTTAATCGATTAAAATCATACTGGCTACTCTCTTTTTTGTCAAATATGGAGATTTAGTCGACTAAATAGGGAGATTTAGTCGACTAAATCTCCTAACAGCCATTTTTTGTTTGTTTTGGTTATTTAGTCGATTAAAAATGCAAAGTAATCGATTAAAGAGGGACAGATTGATAAATAGTTTCGAATCAGGGGCAAAATAATTATTAATTAATTAATAAGAGGCAAAAGGGTGAAAAAGCCCAGGTGAACTGGTTGGAAACCATAAAAATCTATCCTATTCTAGTACCCATGTTGGGTATTCAATTCGTTTTTATGTTTTTGTTGTGTTTATTTAAAGAGTATATGGATAATAAATAGTTAAACTTAAAGTCCGGCATAGGAAATTAGATGGAAATGGTGCAAAGTCCCAACAATGATACCCAAAAGGTCATACCAAATAGTGTCTCGACACGTATTTTTTGAAGGAATGACTGTTTTCAAATACTGTGTATTCTTGTTATACTTGTTAATAATTTCTACGCAGGTGTTATGACAAAGGTCGCAGTTCTTTTTCTTGATAGTTCTAAAAGAAAACAATGATCTTCAAATAATTATTAATGCCAAAGTTAACTATAATAAGATAAAAAAAATTCACCGCATGAATCAACTGGTTGGAGTTATGAGGTATAAACATTCATATAGGTATTAAATGTAATATATAAAGAAAATTAATTAATATTGGTGTAAGGCTTAATCAATCTTACATTAGTAAAGAGCTTTTTACTACGTATTGCTATTCTAACGAAATCTAAATTATTTTCATGAATTTTCCATATTACTCTCATTTCATTTTATTATTTTTAGGATATATTCTAAGCATGATACTTTAGTTGTCCATTAAAAACTGACCATCTTTTAACGTTAAATTTTACATAAAGAGCGATAAAATGCATGATTAACATAATTACTACATGCCAAATATCTTCTGCATTTCGTTCACGGTGGATCGTAACTTTTTTTTTTTTATGAACGGTGGATCGTAGCCTTGCCATTAGGTGTCTGCGGATGAAAATGTTGGCTGTAGAGAGATTTTTCTATGGACTTTCTGAAGACTATTGACTAGAGCGTCCACATTTAAGAACTTGCAAAGATATCTTACATCCAATGAGAAATCTTCAATAATTTTTTTTCTCTAAACTTTTGTGTAATAAAAATAGGAAAAAATATTTATCATTTTAAATAACAGAACTTTGTGTCATTTTAGACAAAATGATATCGTTTTGATGCATAATTGATTATTTTTTATCTTTCTCTTCATAATTCTATGGGAGAAAAATATATAAAAATCATGAAATATACACCAAATGACATTGTTTCGTCTAAAATGATAAAAAGTTATGTCATAAATAACAAACACTTTTCCTAAAAGAATAATATTATATTTAAAATAATAAGGTGTCATATATTTTTATTTGTTTAATTTACACAATTTGTATGTATAAAACAACTATAAAAATAAAATAAGTCCATAACAAAAGGGATTGCAAGCTATCAAGTCTGATCCCCAACAGTGTCATCCTTCTTATAAAACCCATAAAAGGATCACAGTCTACCAGTGTCCTTGTTGCACATCACTGCAAGCCATTGTGTTATTCAGCATATTCATCTCAAATAAAAGCATTTACTTTCAGTATCGCCAAAATTTGCAAGCAGCTTCGAGAAAACCATATGTTCAGCTAATATTTTGAAGATAGATCACAACCGTAATCTCAGTAACATCCCACATACTTGATGATGTATATAGATTGACAAATTATCATATTCTTTTTGTGGATAAAATAACTTATTAAGAGAGAGGAAAATTACAAGACTGGATGATCTCTCTAGTCCCTTTGCATATCTGATACAGAGCAGGGGAGACGGAGACATATGCATTGCACATTGTATCTTACAGGGGCACAAGATCCCCCGCTTATGTTTTTTAAAATGCTATATGTAAATTTCTTGTCTCACATATCAAAGATATTTGCCTCCCCTACCAGCCGAAACGTGAGGTTGATCGAGTACTTTAGACATATTTTTTTTAAATAAATTTTTAATCAAATGAGAAATGACTAGTTAAATGATTTTTTGATTACTTACATAGCGAGAGGGAAATGATTGACAGTATTGATAATGCAAAAAAATCATTTGCCATTTTCAAAATATGAAATTGCATAAGAAACCATTGCAAATTTTCCCTGCCCCTTGTTATTAAATTGAACAATTGGCTTGAATTTTCCTATTTCCAGCTTTTTATATTTGGAAGTTAGAGCTACTTTGGCAAAAAGTGCTGAAGCTTAAAAGTTAAACAGGATTACCTTCCCCTGGCTCCCAATATAATCTGTATCTTCACTTGTCAAAACAGTTGCCTTAAATCAACTTAAAGCCTCTTACAAGAAAATTTCTTCAGGGTCACCCTTCATATGTAATGTAATCCTCCTTAAAGCAACATGAATATCACTAATATTTGGATGTGATGGATCCCCTCCAACGAAACAATGGAATTTGTTTCCAATCTGCATCCAACTATAGGCTTTTTGTTTCTTTACTCCTTGCTCTTTCATCAGAACCCTGACTCTGTTGACATCTTTCCACTTGCCAGCAGCAGCGTATATATTAGACAACATGACAAAAGCACCAGAATTATAAGGATCCAAATTCAAAATTCTTTTAGCTGCCAGTTCCCCCAATTTCACATTTAAATGAACACTACAGGCAGCAAGAAGAGCACCCCAGATGCTGGAATCCGCGTCAAATGGCATCTCCTGGATTATTTCGCAAGCTCTCTGCAACTGACCTGATCGACTTGTTACGTCAACTAAGCAAGCATAGTGTTCAGACCTAGGTGGAATACCATAATTATGGACCATCAAATTAAACAGGTTCATGCTTTCATCCACCCTCCCAGCACGACAACAAGCAGATAGCAAACTCAGAAAAGTTATACCATCAGGTTGAACACTGAATTTTACCATCTGGTCAAAGTAGGAGCGTGCTTTGTCATAGAGACCATGCTGTGCAAATGCAGCAATGATAGTGTTCCATGAAACAACGTCCGGATGGGAAATTTGTCCAAAAGCTAACTCAGAATCGACAATTCCACCACATTTGCTGTACATAGTAACCAAGGCATTACTCAGAGACAAATCTGAATCAAAGCCATGCTTGATTACAAGAGCATACGCCTGTCTTCCTTCTTCAAATGATGCAAGACTTGCACAGGCAGTAAAAAGTGAAACAAAAGTCAAATCATCTGGTTGCATACCCGTCCGGACCATTTGTGAAAATAAATTCAGTGCCTCTTCCCCTCTCCCATTTTGGGCATAACCTACAAACGGTGAATCAATTGTGAAAAAATGGAATAATAATAATAATAATAAAAAATGCAAGACAAAGTAGAAGAAAATTAACCTACTATTCCTGGGACTGCAACAAGTTCATCTTTAAATTTTTTTTCCCTCCCCCTTAGTAAGGGGAAAATGTTTGTTATTTTGTAGGCTTTTTGACCCTTATAACCTTTTATTAATAATTAATTACTAAATTGACCTTCATTATAAACTATTTCGAAAATTTAACTCCCTCAAAAAACATAACACCAATCTGCCCCTGTTTGACCGTTGACCACCAAGCCTACCCGGGTACACCCCTCCCTACCCGGGTATATCTTGAAATTTTTGACCTACCGGGTAGGGAGGGGTGTACCCGGGTATTGTTCTTGGTACTGAGAAATTGCTTGAATTATTTACCCGGGTAGAAAGGGGTGTACCCGGATAAATCTCCACATCTTCCAACTCACAGCCTCAACACGAGGCCCTTCTAGTGTTCCATCAGCGATGAGATTACAAGAACACAAATGGGTCTCTCCCTCTTTTGAGATTAAGGAGACAAGTTCCTCGTCTTCCCATAACAAGTCATTGTCCAGCAAAACCAAAGGCACAGATGGGTCATTGTTATTGGTCTCAACCTCAACACAGTTTGCATCAAAATCGTCCTCAAAGGTATCTTTCTCTTCACATAGAAGGGCATCGAGGAATGAGGGAGAGTATTGTACATCTAGGGGTTCTTCAGTGAGAGCCATCTTCTTGAAAGTTGAGGATGTGGAGATTTACCCGGGTACACCCCTTTCTACCCGGGTAAATTCCCAGTACCAAGAACAATACCCGGGTACACCCCTCCTTACTTGGGTAGGTCAAAAATTTCAAAATATACCCGGGTAGGTTTGGTGGTCAACGGTCAAACAGGGGCAGATTGGTGTTATGTTTTTTGAGGGGGTTAAATTTTCGAAATAGTTTATAATGAAGGTCAATTTGATAATTAATTATTATTAAAGGGTTATAAGGGTCAAAAAGTCTATTTTGTAAGATACAACTTTGTGTCATTTTAAATGAAACGATTGCGTTTCGGTATATATTTGTCCTTGAAAGTAAAAACCTAACAAATATATACACAAAAACAGTTATTTCACTTAAAACTACACAAAGTTGTGTTCTTTAACATGACAAACATTTTTTTTCCTTTTTTTAATAAAAGGGATGAGTGTATATAAGACTTAGATTCTTAATAAGTTTATGGTTTTTTTGTTCTGCAGTCAATATAGATAAATTATTTATATTGAGCCCAAAATGACATCGTTTTAGGAGTGAATGTAGATAACTTGTCTACATTCATTATAAAAACATTAAAGCCTAAGTTTATATTGGATAATTTTAGGGTTATAAGTTTTTGCGGAGAAACTTGTAACTTTCTTGCAGATACAACAAAACGTGGGATCCACCTGATTAAAAAAAAAAAAACAACATGAGTTTTTATGTTAGTGCACGAGAGGATATTTTTCTCTTGAAACAGGAGAAAAACATATCCCATAATTTTATTTCAAAATCCACCAGATTTGGATCCTTTCATGTAAAAAAATGATCATGTGATAATGTTATTTGATCACAACCACCACTCATTTAAGAATCATACACTTTTCTCTCTCTTATGTCATCATCAATGAGTGGTTGTAATCAAATAACATGACCACATGAACACTTTTCCACGTAAGAAGATCCAAATCCAAATCCACCATTGGATTTAAAGTTCCTATCAAATAAATCATATTTATGAATTATTACATTAATTGAAAATTATCTAGTACTCATTAGTATACGTAAAGTTTAACAATGAACATAATATATATTTTTGAAATATACGAAAATAAAAACCATCTAATTATATTTTTATTGTTGTTCAATTTTTACAAAATTTGACACAAATAATTAAGATAATAGACAACTAGAATTCGAAGCTTGTTTCGTTTAAAATCATATTCTGTATATAAAGTTATTAAATAGTATAAGAACGCTTGTGTAAACCATCCGTCCTATTGAATAATCACTAGTGGTTAAATCCATATTTGCCTAAAGCTTGAAACTTGGAATGAGAAAGAGAATGAGAATGCTCTTGCGTTAAACTTTAAACTTTCACGTACCCGTTATCATTATATTCCAAGAAACGCGATCTCTGCGTGGAAGCTCTTCAAACAAAGTCCTAGCCTCTTCCATCTTCCCTTGTTTACAAAAACCCGTGATCATAGCAGTCGTGGCAACAATATTCTTCTGGGGCATTCTTTCAAACAGTTCCCATGCTTCCTCGCACAACCCGTTATCCACGAGGCCACTAATCATCACCGTCCACGAAACCGCGTTCCTGCGAGGCATCGCATCAAACAGCACCCTCGCGCGCCGAATGCCACCACCACCTTCCTTCCTCGCGTACCCATCGATCATCGCGGTGTAAGAAATCACGTTCGGATGAGGCATCTCTTCGAAGAGCTTCTGCGCTTCCTTCACGCGCCCGAATTTCACTAAACCCGAGATCATTGCGTTGTAGGAAGCAGCGTTCTTCTCCGGCATTGCGGCGAAATAGTTGAACGCGTCGTCGACTATGTCGTTTTGAACGCACGCGGCTATCATGGAGTTCCAGGAAACGACGTTCTTGAGTGGCATGGAATAGAAAAGCGCTTTGGAATGTTGGAGAAACCCGTTCTGCCAGTAGCCGGTGAGCATGGAGTTCCAGGTGACGACGTCTTTTGTGGGCATTTTGTCGAACAGTTGGCGAGCAGCGTCCACATTACCGGATCGTGAGAGAGCGGCGATGTTGAGGTTTGCGCGATACACATCGCGAGTAGAGAAAAAGATCGCGAACAGAAGGAGGGAATGGCGCTGGCGCGTAATGGAGGATGAGCTTGGGTTTAGTGAAACTATGTTGGTGAGCATGGAGTGTGAGCAACAACGAGAAGTGACTAAAACCCAAATATACGTACATTTTAACCCACATCAATGGAAATAATTGTTTTTTAATCAAAGGATCTAGATTCAAGAATTACTAGTTCAAATAACTTCTCGATTCACATATATGGCCATTTCCTTTTAGTTTTCGAGATGGGATATTTTTTTTTATCACTTTTTATGAAAACATTTATGAATGTTAGAAATAATATTTTTAATAATTTGGATTCTATATAAACTTTATTATATGCTATAAAGTTAAACTAACGGCACAAATTCCTTTTTTTTTCTCTTTATTTTGTCAAGTGTTATGTTTCTATTTGATTAAGGAATTATTAAGAAAAATTGAGAATTCTTATTTTGATGGGTAGAGAGAGAAAAAGTGGAAAATAGAACGTATTATTGTTAAAATGATATTCTACACTCACAAAAAATTATAAAATTGCCACCAGAGATTTTTATTTTTTAGTGAAATATGATTTTCTTAGTAGTTATTCTCCCTCTTTTTGCATTAAATGAACCCAACTACTAGGAGGTACAAAATAAGAAGAATGATTCATTTTCAAAAAAAATTTACAAATTAAATTAAGTATGGTCGATCATACACTTTTAGGAGTGTATTGGATTAGAATTTTAAAAGACTTTTTTGAGATACAAAATCCAACATATTTTAAAAGACATTTTAGAATTGGACAGACTTTATAGACTTTTTCAAAAGACATTTTGTACAATCAAGATTTCATAGGATTTGATTTTACAGGATTTTAATAGAATTCATAAAATTTGAAAGGACAATATGGATTTATAAGATTTTAAAAAATTATATGAATTTTTAACAAATATTCAAAATTACAAGGGTCAATAAAAACAAATAACAAAGAAATGCAATGATATTAATAAAAAAAGTAAACTTAACAACGAGTTGAAAATTATCTCAAAAATTACTAAGCAACAATTTTTCACATATCAATAAAATCTAATATAATTTTCTCAATGAGTTTGATTTGCGAAAATAATGACCATATATCAACGGTTAACTTCCAAGTAAAATATTAATTAATGAGTTTGATTTGTGAAAAAAATAACCATTGATTGATAGAAATCAACGATTAAAATATGGTTGTAAACAAAAATAGATTGTAAGTATAATATTTCCCATAAAAAAATAACAAAGAAATGCAATGAAATTAATGAAAAAAAAGTAAAACCTAATATAATTTTCTCAATCAGTAAAACATAATATAATTTTTAACAAACATTCAAAATTACTAAACAACAGCTTTTCACATACCTAATGGGTTGAAATTTATCTTCTTCATTTGGTATCAAAGTTATGCATATATGATTATAAGACCCAATTTTTTTAATTATAAAAATAATTCTAAATTTGCATATAGAACCTAAAGTTCATGATAAAACTTCGTTTGAAATTTTTTGCAATTGATCTTGAAAACCTTGGGGTTTTTATTTTACGTGATGAGAGTTTTCTAACCATATATCATATGCATATTTTCATTGAATATTCTAAGAAAATTTTGAATCTGAAATTTTGGGTTTAATTACATGAAAGTTTAGAAAATTTCTCAAATTTTTTTTAGTCGATACATAGAAACCTTAAATTGCTTTGGGGCTTTTGAGAAAAAACAAGTTTTTAGTTATCTATTGACACAAAAATTGCTTGAAATCGTTTCCTATAGTGAAGGAATTTCGTTCATGAATGTATTGTTACGAAATATAGGGTTCATATTATGAAAGTTTCAATCTTTCTTTAAATTGATATTGCTTCATTTATGTAAAACAAAAATTGGTTTGAGAGTTTTAGTTCTCCTGTTATTTTTTCACTGTTTTATGTTATTTTTAATACAAAAATCACACGTTTTTGTGCCAAGAAAAACCGTGACTCATAGCTTAAAAAATCACTTTTTAAACTTCCAAAATAGCTCAAAAATATGTTATTTTTAAGATAGATCATATTAAAATCTAGTTGGTTTGTTGTTTCGCGGTTGTTTTGTGATAAAAATCGCTCAAAAATATGTTTTTTTTTTAGTTTTGACGAAACTCTCGTGACGGAACCCAATTTCGAGCAGTCAACCTGCCAAAGGAAGAAGAAAACACTGCAACAGAAGAATCTCAAGAAATCCTAGGAGTTGGGGTGAGATTGTAAGATAAACATTCTATTTATATTTTTCACTAAAAAGTCTCACGAAATCCACACCAAAAGAAAATTCATTAAAATCGTCGAATTTTTGAATACCACGAGATTGTGATTCCATTGTTTAAAATCTTGATTGAAAACTAACGGATTTTAAAATAATCTTTTAAAATCCTAATCGAATACCATATGATTTTTTTTCAATCAATTAAAATCCTAATCGAATACCAACAGATTTTTTTGTCCAAAAACAATCCATTAAAATCCTTTGGAATCTCAATCCAATACACCCCCCTTAATTGAAGTATAACCGATCATACTTTTAATATAATTTGTAAAAATTTATAAATATAACTTTCCTCCCAAAACAAACCAACAACATGAGATTAATTTCGAGTCTCGCCCATTAGAGATGCTTTAGACTAGATTTGGCTTGATCAGCATATTTTGGGTTAGGCTGGGTTCAATTTAATCCAAAAAACGGTTAGGGTGTATCTTCCTTTGAGTTGGGTTCACGCTCAGATTATTCCCTAGGCCACCCAACCTACCTATTACATTTAAATTTTATATATAATAAAAATATTTGCTAATATTTTAAGTTAAAAAATATTGCCATTTTCTTAAGATTTTTTGTTCATATTTGTTAGTTGTAATAGGCATGTGAATATAGATTTACAAAGCCTTTTAATTTCTTCATATATGGTATATGCTTTTAAGATTATTTTTTTTCATTTTAATATAAATCCTTTCAGTTATTATATTAAAAGTATCTGTTTTTATTGTTTTATTTATTTCATTATTTTATTTGTCTAATTGTGATTTTTCATTATTTTTTTTTCCTAAATATTTTGGTATGGACTTGAAACCTGGTCTAATTTAGACCCTTGCCATGCTTGGGTCTATAATAGGCCTACGTCCTAATTTATGGTTCAATGTTCAAACTTTAATAAGGTTATGTTTTTTTTCCCATTAATTTATTAATTATTTTACTAATTCGGTTCGAGTTGAACAAAATTATAAGGGAGGAAAAATTATTCTTATCAAGTTCTTAACACAATTATAAACCTAGAATCCAAACTCAAAACCCTTAATTAAGTTAGAATAATATCATATCAATTGATTCATGTGTTTGATGATCTTTGTGCCTATTTTAAATGTAATATATTCAACCCATTTTGTATTTTTGGGTGTAGTAATTGTTTTTTTAGTATAATGTGATAACCATGAGATGGTTTTTCATTTTCAAACGAAAATTTAGCAAATAAGTGAGATTTTTCTTATTTTTTAATTATTGATAATTTGGAGTAATTATTATATCAAAGTTCTTGGATTTTATTTTTCTAAAATAATTTGGAGTAAATCACATAGAACCTAAACTTCAATCATTGATATACATGGTAAAGAACAGTATAACATGGTAATGTAGTTAAAAAAAAAAAAAGTTTGTCATTTTAAAGTCAAGATGGCCTCCTTTATTTTTTTCCGCATTGACATTTTGATCCTTCACCCAAGCGAAGCTCACCCAACCCTTGATTTGGAACCTTAGCCACCATTCCCGGGTCAAATTTCTCGCTGTTTCTGAAACCTTCGGCGTCATCTTTGAGTCTCCAATCACCACGGGTATACACCTCAGTTTTGATCGTAATCTCTCTCGCACCATTTTTCAAGTAGCTAAATTTGTTCCATATTTTTCAAGCCCGAAATGCTCTCTGAGATCTTACTTGACAAGTAGCTCAGAGAGAAATCCAAGTTCTTGAGTGAAACAAGGTTCCCAATGAAGTGTGGTATCTCCCCTGCCAGGTTTACAATGGCAAGGAACACAATTTTCATATTAGAAAGGTTTCCTAGTTAGGAAGGTAAAGGTCCTGGCTTGAACGGGTTATAAACTAGTTCCAATCGAGTTAACTCACTAAGGTTGCCTAGAAAGGGAGGGATCACTCCACTTAGAAGGTTTCCGGATAAATGAAGCACCTTTAGTTGGGAAACTAGCCAAAACTTACCGGAATATCTCCGGTGAAGTTGTTGTTTGAGAGGTCAAGTTGGCTTAGTTCAACAAACTCTTGGTGTTAATTCCGACAAGCCTCCCACGGAGAAATTGTTGAAGTTAAAGAGAGGACGATGGGATAAAAAAAAGCAGTGACTGGAGGAGATACCGTTTGTCGAGAAAATTCCACGCAAGCGAGAATGTGATCCCGGATGGAATGGCAATCAAGTTCAATACATTTAGGAACACAAGATTGGCAACAATGTGCAAACCATCCTAGTTATCATAAAAATGAACGAAGCCATAAGACTTCAGAAGTAGTGGCAGCCATGGAACAATATCCATCCTGCCTCGGCGGAAGAGCGTGCTTTTTGTCTTCCATGAAATAGGAGAGTAGCTAAGAGTAATAACATAGTCCACCTTGGAACATTTAGAGCAGTTTGAGCTTCCGGTGTGACAATTTTGTATTTTGGTAAATCGAAATTGTGCGGACGTAAATTTAGAAAAGAATGATATTTGTTGTTTACTTTTTCTAAAGAAAAAAAAAATGAGTAACTGCAAACCGCGGAAATGTCCGAGTTTGAGATATTACCTAAAGCCTACCAAAAAGAAAACCAAATGACGAATACAATATCATGATAAGCGTAACATATTTCATCCGATGTTTCTATATCTAGATATGGAATGGAGAAAAGCTATACATATGGTGGAGGGTTAGATCCGCTGTTATTCCTATGTTCCAGATGGTCCATTTTTAGTCCTTTTCCCCTTCATTTCCCCTACTTCTTCTTGTCCCTTTCTTTTTTACTTTTATTTATTTATATATACATATATTGTTATTTTATTTTATATTTTTATTTTATTTGTTTATTTTTATTTATTTATTTATTTATTTTATTTTTATTTTTTATTTTTTTTTAACTTTTTTTCAACCGTTTTGTATCTTTCATGTGAGTTCATCTACCACCGACCCCAATTAATTTGGGATAAATGTGTTGTTGATGTTGATGTTTCTATATCTAGATATGGTAAAACTCCGAAACTGAATATACAGGGTAAGTAGTTTATTTTCTTTCTAGTTTTGACGGAATTCCTTCTTCCCAGTATACAACCTCCTCAATCAATTTATTTCGATACTGTCCATTCTGCTCAAAAAGGGTAAAAAATAATAATTACTTTCAGTTTTTTTCTTTTTCAAAGCTATGAAGTATAAACAAATACAACTAACTTCAAAACTAACAACTATCTTTCCAGGCCCAAGCACATGAAAAGTCATCATCAGGCACCCACCATGACCTAACCTTAACAGTAAAGAGCAAACCACCAAATACAGCATATGGAAGAATGAAGCCTGAAGTCGAATTAAGCAACAGAACAAGCATAGGCAACCATCTTCAACAATTTGGTACTCCACCCCAACGGCCCAAGCCCCACTACCACTCATACTCTTGTCATGGCGCCCAAAAGGTCAACCCATACTTCTGTCTCATATCCCTTTGATCCGAGAATCCTTAGCTTCCAAAGCCTGCATTTTAACCTAACACTATACATGTCACATTTTAAGTCTCAATGTTATGTATCAGTAAAGTGAAAGCAGTCAGCAACGTCAAAGTGCATGGCCAGTTGCACAACAGCAGAACGCACAGCTTCGGACTTTGGTGCAACAGAAGTGGGTAGATGGGGTAAGCATAGCGGCAGATACCGTTCACTTTCCTCAGGTGGGCAGAAAAAAGATATCACTGATCGGCAGAATATGAATCTGTAGATAAATTATGGAACACATCATACAGAAGTTCATTCAGTAACTTCATTTTAATAGCGCCTGAAGAAGTCTAGATGGCAGTCAAATGCTATTCTGTCATTCTCCCAAACCAATCTCCAACCAAGATAAAAAATGAATGCATCGGCTAATTCAAAAAAAAAAAAATAGAGAGCAAATACCTTAGAATAAGTCGCCTTAAAAATGGATCAGTTATAACTTGTGCCCATACTAAATCCATGACGGTTGATGAGCAAAGAATTATTTCCCACTCAGTGAAAGCATTAGCGATTATGTTCTCAGCTTCATTGTAGAGATCCTACGGTTAACACAACAATTAGACCAATATTTAAAGTTGATTTGAGAAAATTTACAGATTATTCACTTACTGTATCAGCTTCGTTGGGGAAGAGACCAATCATTTGGCAAAATGCTGACAATGGAGCAGTCAAGAAAAAGGTAAATTGGCTTCCGTTATGTAAATTTATATCAGATGGGTTCTTGAAAATCGGCCTTAAAGGTGAAAGAAATAGAGCAGGCGTCTCTCCCCTTTCAGCACCATGCAAAACCTGCAATCATTTATTAAACATCAAGACTCAAAGACAGCAACTTCTAATTAATGAACCTATCAATTCCAATATATATTAAAGACGGGACCCAACAAGCAAATATTCAATAATGACTGGCTTCCCCAGGAAAACTAGCACAAAAACATCCCAAACCCAGAAAGAAGCTGTAGTTATCATTATTTTCGTAACTACACAAGGAATTCGACAACACCATTTCATAATTTAAGGTTCTTTCTCTACACCCCTTAACTCTGTCCTTGGAGAAAGTTCTACATTGAGGCTCAAATTGCTAAAGAAAATCAATGAGGCAGGGTTTCCCATTGTTAGTGTGTTTTAAATTCATTTTGAAATGTTACAATAATATCAGATTATAGAGTAACAAACTAATTACAAACTTCATCATGCCGTTAACAAGTAAAATTAGATTCAAGGAATATACAGAGCAGTTCTACCTAACAAAGTTTCCAGGAAACTCATATACAAGTTTTGACAAACCTGCCTTGAATGCATGGCTGTTATCGCTATCAATAATTAAGAAAAGATGTTTCCGAGTGAATGGAATAAGATCGCCAGGGTAGAGGTTGTTTGAACCTGATAATTCAAATACAGCATATGTAAGTGCAGCTACAGCAGAGGTGCTTGTTTCTTCTATAACAGACAATAAACACCCAAAAAAGGAAGGAAAAAAGATTACATTCTCATAACATTTCCTGAAACAATCTCAACAAAAGTTTGACAGAGAACAAACTCAGTGCAGATACCTACCACCATTTCCCTTGGGACCAAACCACAGGTAATTGTCATAACAGCTCAATTCTCTCTTGCCATTATTTTGAGATTCAGAAATTCCTGAATTTTGTTCTTGAGAAGTCTGAGAAAGGACTTTATGTCTTGAAAATTTGGATGACCCTCCAGAATTTTCCATCTGAGAGACATTATTAAGACCAGCCTTTCCTGTATGAGTGATTACTAAGGTAACTAACCTAGTATAACAGGACATGACCAATAGATTTATACTTAAAAAACAGAGAAAATGTAAACCTGAGGCTGAAAGATATACTAGCACAACACTGTCTGGAGGTAGCTCCTCACAAATTGTTGCCATAACCTGCGTAACACCATGAAGCTCAATACAAGAAATAACAAATGATATATTTAACATCCAGGGAAAGATTGTATATCAATAGGATGTAAACAGCCATATTTAACAAGTGAAAATTTTGGTAGTGATTCATAAATCAGACACTACAGCATGAAGGAAAAAACAAACACAAACATGTCATGATAGTTTGCACAAACAAACATGCAAAATATTAAAATATACACTAGAACCAATGAAACACACCAAATGCACATATGAATATCCACGTCATGTGAAAGGAGAAATCATAAAAATCCCACGAAATATTATTTGTTATTGTCAAGGCCTAGTTACCGGAACAGCCTTTAAATTTTAGCAAATAGACAAGCATGTAACACAAACTTTCCAGTAGGCTTGAGAACTTACTGCTATCAAATGTGTCACAGATGGACGATACAAGTTAGCCTTTCTAGGATTAGGAGGTGCAGTTGGATCAGTCATATCTGCAGCAAGATTCATGTCTATTATCCCAGAAGCTCCTGAATGATCAATCGAGTCGCCATTCTCAATAGGTTTAACTATATGCTTTTGGTAGAATAATCCACTAGGTTCCCATTCCAAACACTGTATCATTCTATAGGTATCCAATGTAAGCTCCGCAAATTTGACCTGAAAGTTAGAGTATATGAAGATTCAAAAGCTTCAGTCCCTTTCAGCTACTAAAGTAATTTATTAATCCAAATTTAAGAACCACCATGGCAGCATGGAACAGTATTTACCTCATTTCGATGATAGCTTGTTAACAGTGCATCTTGAAATTTTAAAACCCTCTTAGCATGAAAACGAGCCACATAAGGAAGAGAAGCCCGATGAGTATCAAATGTGGCACAATATCGCATAGGCCTGACACTAAAACCCTTATCTACTTTTGTGAAACGGACAATTTCTTGCACCACTTGTTTCCATTCTTTAAAGTTAGTTTCCTGAAAAGAAATAGTTCATGTTCATCAAGTCAAACAAGCAATACAGAGATATTTCCTTCTGTGGATGAATGGTGGAATACAAAGCATCAATGAATTATATTATGATACAGTTTATAGTATATTTTATCTGAATGTAAAACACTAAAGTTCAATATTAATAATGAAGGATAACAGTCAAAAAAAGAAATTACAAATGACAATCAGATTGAGAAGTGGAAGGTTAACTTTCAATACAAAACAATAACAATCAAGCATGCAACATGTAATAAAATAAATTTGTAAGTTAGAAATATCTGAAGCAGAACAATGCAGAGATGACCAAGGTCTAAGGCAAAAAATAAAAATTCAAACTCATTTTACAAATTTACTAAATCTAGTAAAATGGACCGTAGTTATCATGCATTTAATGAAGTATCATTATTTTTAGCATAACACTTTTATCCTCTTAGTTTGTGTGCTACTTATCGAATCAACACATGTAAATGCATTTAGGCACTTCAGATTCTTGTTTGTTTTGCCAACTTACAGCAATTTCTTGTTTTACTATTATCTGGTTGCCGAAAAGAACTTCATATACATATGTGTGTGTGTGTGTGTGTGTATAAATATATATTTGAAAAGAAAATCATCCCTGCACCAACAATGTTATTCTGGAAAACTGGCCCCCACAGTCAGCATAACAAAGTACAGTACTACTTGAAAGTCAGTTGATTCAAACATTAATTTGGTTCTACAATGGGACACATTTTCTTTAAAAAAATTACCATTTTCTTTTCTTTAAAACTGTAAAATTGAGTACTTTCCATAACCTTGATGTAACTCATTTGATCACCTTCACAGCTCATGTTTCATATCCCACTCAGGCATAACCATGCCATCCAATCTAACATTTATTACTTTAAGCAAACTTTTCACTCCGTTTATTTTAGAGCCCTAATCTTATCCGTTCTATCCCCACACTCGCTAGTCGGGTTTAATTGGGGAGTGGATTTTTACTTTTTTAATCTTATCCGTTCTATCCCTCCATCTATTTTCTCCTGTGGAATCAGATGTTGATGAAATATGGATTACACTTATTACAGAGATCTCCTGCACCAACAAACTCAAACAAAATTTACAAGACATGGATTCTAACCCCACCCTCCCTCCAAATAAAAAAAAAACTATGACATAGAACAAATAAGCTTGCATTCTATCGGATACAACACCAAGACTTATCCCACTAGGTGAGGTCGGTACACGGATCAATTCATCAAATGTCGCTGTTGTGCTCTATCATACAACCTAAAAGACTATATGCTATTCTAATTATTTTCAGATGAAACTTAAGGACTCTAAATCAAGTATGACACAGTGACCATAAACAAAATGATCTAAACAGAGAAGCTTCTTAATTATCTCTGAATTTATAGTATTTTTAGTTATGAACGCAAGAAAAGAACACCACGTATATCACAAGCTGTTTCCCTCCTAAGAACTTCGTTAGCAAAAACGACAATAAAAAATAAAAAATAAAAATCTATGAACATAAGTTCACTTTCTTTTCCCGGCGACACTTGAACATACAAAGCTAAACATCACTTCCAAACGAACCAAAAATTAAGCCAGAAACAAAAAACTCTCCAGAACGCAAAGCGTTTCAGCTCCAATTTCAGAAGAAAAACAATGTATTACCCGGAAGTTACTCTTGCAATCATCAACCAAAGCGACGAACCGGTCCATGAGATGCTTGACCATATCGGCCCGGTTCAGAATCACCGAAACCAACAAAAACCGCGCATAGAACCGCAACTCCTTGGACCGAACTCCCAGATCTTTCGTGGAAGCTTCGGATCCTTCGAAGTACCTTCTGCTGAGTATGGCCTCGTAGAAGACGTAGGCCTCGACCAGGAACCTGCACTCGCTGGTCCTCATGTACTGCCCGAAGTAGAGCTGGCCGATTCGGCTCGCGATCTCGCCGATTTCCCAGCGCTTGAGACCGCACTGCACCAGCTTCGCGCGGTTTTCCTGCTGGTACTTCCATAGGCGTGTGTAGGCCTTGAAAACCTTGTGGAAGAAGTGGTTCTGGCTCACGCGACCGTATGCAGGCACGTCCCGAACCCTAGCGAACTTGTGGTCCGCGCTCTCCACCAGGGCTCGGAACGTCTGCAACGCATGGTCGTTGTTCTCTGACATGCCTGCCGTAGAGGAGACAAGAGGAGAGGGCCCTTTTTCAGTTCTCCTTCCGGTGCCGGTTCTCGCCGCCGGTCATCAGAAAACGAGTAATCGGAAAATGAAAACGAAATGTTTGTCTGTATGGGGAACGCAAAAGAGAGGAACGGTGAAGAGGGCAGTTACACTTTTTCTTTGTCAAGGACTGTGAAAGTATATGATATTATATTAAACTATAAATTTACGCAGTTTTTTTTATTTAATGGCGGTGTGCCAGCGAGACTGGTCTGAATGTTTTCTTTTTTTAATATATAAAGAAAAATAAATAAAGAACGAAATTTGCTGTTTCTTTCGCTTTTGCTTTTTTTTTTCTGTTTTCTTTTTTGCTGTTTTGAGAGAGAAACGTGAGCCATGAATGGATGGGTTAAGATTTTGGATTATTTGAAGTGATTTTCTTTCCATCCGTTTATTTTGGCTTTTTTTACCCCTTTTTTGCGAAGGCAGCAATTAGTTGTTTTTGGTACATGAGAAAAGAAAGCGAAAGCAAACAAGAGGATAAAAAAGGGATTAATATTTCTAGTATTCTACACACATATGTGGGGTCATTTTTTATTTTTTTTATCTCTTCTGTTCATGTAACCTCACATAAATTTATGTATGAGATAAAAGTAACTCTTATAATATAAAATACATTAACTCTGATAAAAAAAAAAAAAAAAAACCAAAATCCAACGACGCTAATTCTGGGTTTCGATTGAAAGACTACTAATTGCATCTCCAATAAATAACTTGATTTTTTTTATATAAATTAACATATCAATTGGTTCTTAAATAAATGAATTGAAGTTATTATTTTATTTTGATTTTATTACTTTTACATATGATTAAATTCTATCCAAATTCTATTTTATTTTTCTAGCAGTCAAACTTTAAAATATATGTATTTCAAATAAGAAAAAACTTTTGATAAACAAGAGATAGAGACACTTTAAGTTTCTTAGCATTTTACCAAAAAAAAAAAAAGTTTCTTGTTAGCACAAAACGCGGAGCTAATTTCTTTTACCCATGTCAACCTAATCGCCACGCAATGCTACTTTGGCTTATATTTAATTGAGCCATCTTCCATTTAGTACACCATAAATGCAGTTTTTAAGTAGTGGACCTCGACTGATTCATCATGATTTCAATCATTTTGGAATTTAGTTGTATGTCATTTTCACGTATGTATTTACCGCTGAAAGAAACTTCACAATGGAGCATCAGAAACACTATAACGTTTTCGTTTATCTGGATTATGTACGTTTACAAGGGGGGGAAAAGTATGGTGTACGATTACGAATAACAACATATAGAATCATTATAGATAACGATTAAAAAAAAAAAAAATAGTGGTTCATCATTCTAAGTAAATATCGCATTTTGATGGAAACAGAGCAACTAAAGATAAAAAAAAAAATTATATTTTTATGGTTAATTAAAAGTTAAGGTTGTTGACTGGCATGCATTCACGAAGTTTGTATATTTTATGCCTGATTAAACATTTTGTTTTTGGCTACAGTTATGCCTAATCAGCATATAGGACCATCATATCTACTTCTATAATCGAGTTGGTGAATGAAGATTTGTTCATAATGTGCTCAATGATATTAAATAATCATAATCTTAATCATTCTCTAATTGCTCGCAGAAGCATATAAGTTAATAATTGGGGTATGAAGAAGTCAGGTACACCCTAGCAATTGATGAATGATGATCAGATTTAATTTGGAACCAATCACATTCGACACCTTAGTTGTTGTAATTAGTTTAAGCTGTACAGATGGAAATGTTTTTAATAATCGAGAACAGATCACACTATGGAAAATCCGAGCTTGGAAAACTTCAACATTGACCTGGGATTCTAGGTAATGATTTCTCTTTCCCTCTCTCTCCTTCCACTTTCCCCCCTCCTTTTTGCTTAGAGAGAGAGGGTCGGTAAATAATGAGATCTGTGGTCCAAATTAACGTAGTTCATTTTATGAGAAACTTCGCTTGTGTTAGAAATGGGAAAATGGGGCATTCTATGATGATATGCATTGATGACTAATCTAGTAAACTTGTTTTCTTCTATCTCACTTTTAAATGGCTAAATAGAAGTCTGGATAATTGTGGTTATAATATGCCAAACTTATTTGGCAACATTCTCTGAGCTCGGTGATTTACAAATTGAGAACTCGACAACCATCATGTGAATTGGTTAAAATCATTTTTTTTTATCTCCTAGCACCATCAAAATGAACAGCTAAAACACCAAAAGTTAGATGTTATGAGTTCAGATAGGTCTTACGTTGCACAAAATTCCTATCATTAAATCAAGAGAACGAAACCAGGTCCTCTCGTTTAATCATTTATTAATTGGTTTGGAAATCTCTATAACAATTAACAAGGTAAGTTAATAGAGTTACCAATCAACTATTTTTACAAAGATGTTATTTTTTAGACTCAAATTCGTAATTATTCAATCACAAGAAATAATCTTACCGATATTTCAAGGATTGTCCTTTCTCCATTTCAGGGTTAGTTACTAAATATGTAAATCTCATTGTTTCATATGACAAAATGTAAAAATATAAATCTCATATAAGATAAATTTATTCACGTGTGACATTAAATTATATAAAACGAGCTCAGTTGTATATTAAAAAAAAATTAATACTTTTTTTTAGTACATTTTTACTCTATATGTTGATGTGCTCTCTACATTCATTTATTTGTCAACAGATGATTACAATGATCTCACACGATCACGTGAGATAATTTAAACAATTCTATGCATTTCTTTTTAGATTCTTAGGTGTAATGGAAGCATAGTTTCAATGGTTGACTTTACGGAAAAAGGCATTAGGAATGAGTAGCCAGAAATCTATGAAGAAGGTGGCCTTTATATTGTGTCCGACCAAATAATTCACCTTTTTCTGTGTTTCCGAATTCGACCTATGTCGATCATTGGATCTCCTAATTTTCACAGCTGTCTACATATATTAATCTGCAGAATATGTTGACCTCTCTCCTCACACTATATTGAGTGGTTAAATTCAATTGCTATTACCCTTGTCTGATAGATTAAATTAGACATCTTTTGTCCGCACAACTTGCTTTATTATTTATGGTTATGGATGGACAGACTCAGCTCCTATTCCCATTTAAAAGTGATCAAAACTTGTTGTTTTCCAAAATCTGCAGTTGTTGGATCGTTAGTGTTTATTGTCTGAATTGGGCCGCTAGGTCCATGGCGTATTATTTTATCATCTTTTATTACAAATAAAGTAGATATATGACCAAGTGCGGTGGCTTAGTTGATAGCATGGGAACTGAGTGGTGGGAGAGGATCTCGGTTCGAATCCCACCAACACCATCTGGGGAGGGGCATAAGTACCGTAATTCTTGGACTCGCACCCGAACTCTGGATTAGTCTCATAGGCAGCTCAAAGAGTCGAACCCGTGGAGATACTGGGGGTTCTGATTCACCTTAAAGAGGTAATTAGGATCAGTTACCAAAAAAAAAAGTAGATATATGAATGTATCATTTTCTTATATTAAAGAACTTTTTTTGTGTTTTTTTTTAGTTAACTCAACTCTAATTACTTCTTTGAGGTTAGTTAATTTTGTTCAGTATTTTTATAAATTTTGACTTTTTAAGTTAATTATAAGACTAATACAGAATGCAGGATGAGTTAGTTATAAAAATATTTAAATTTCTCTCAAAAATAACACATAGGATCAAAGTGAGATTTTTTTTCCTATTACTCAACAACTCCCTTTGGTAACTTTTCTTTGGATTCAATGAGATGAAACTTAGAAAAGTCATCCAATTTGGTCCATCTCTACCTGCGTGGGTTTATAAGTTTCGATAGAAGTCATTTTCTCTTGCTTTAGTAGGTGGATGCTTTCCCTACTCACTCATACCGTGTTCTTTTCAACGGGACATGTCCTTTCATGCAACGAGCTGAAACGAGCATTTGACTTTCAAAATATGCCCTCTTTTTATTCATGCACATAAGTATATGCATATTGTGGCATTATTTGTGGGGAATCGACAATCACATAAAATCGAGAAAAAAGAAAAAAGAGATAAAAGTAAAGAGATTGACACGATGATTTACCCTGTTTATCCAATTAAGGCTACGTCCAGCTTGTCTGTACTATATTCTCCTCACCGTCACTCGTTATAAGTCTCTCGGTTTACAAGGCAAATATAAATAGGATTACAAAACCCTAACAACAGCTATTCATGGGCCCAAGTCCAAACTGCTAAGAAAATTACAATAAAACAGATGCCAATAATAGTACCTAGCCTCTACGGGCCTGGCGGCAATAGCGGAGCTACACCAAAATTTTAGGTGGTGCTAAATTTTTTTGACATATAAATTATTAAAATATTAATTGTAATTACACAAACTAATCAGGAAAAAATTTTACTATAAATTCTAACATAGTTATCTAAATTATGTATTAAATAATATCACGTAACATTGAAAATTCAAATGAACAATTATCAATGATTATATATCAAAGCAAACATATAAAAATGCACTAACCTTTTCGATAAACATTTTAAACATAAGAATTTCACTTTTCTCTCACAGCATAATAAGTAGGGGATAAGTTATTTTATCTACCATTTTTTTCGTCTACCTTTGCCTATTACTCTCCAACATCGTTAGATTAGAATCTTAATAAGAGAAAGAAATAATAAATGTAATTGAGATTCTGATCCAATGGTATTGAAGAGTGGTAAGCAAAGGTAGACATAAAAAATGGTAGGTAGAATAACATATCCCAGTAAATAATGGACCAAGCATTGTCTTAAGGATATGAAAACACACAAATATAATAAATATATGCTTAATAACATTTAATAAAGAATTTAAGATATAATAGAAAAATGCATACCTAAAATTGTAAAGAGAAAAAGAATTTCAGTGATGCTCATTATCTCTTTCATCAAAAATAAATTAAAGATAAATTTAAAGGAAGTGATCATCTTATAAGCTGCAGTAGCATCTCCTCTTTGAGTAATTTGAGCCTTCACTACGAATTATTTTAAGTAAGTAGCATCTCCTCTTTGAGAATAATTTGAGCCTTTATTATGATTGCAATTGTAAGTCACAAATTAAGGCTTTGAAAGTAATTTTAATTGATGGGTTAG